GTTTTTTCTCCCCTTTGTTGGTTTCCCCTCTTCCCTTCCCCCCCCCCCCCCTTATGTCCTGAGCCAGCTGTAAGTAGCTGTGAGCATGGTAGCTAAGGATCCTTGCTAGGAAAACTTGGGCCCTGCTTTATCATCTGCCAGTTGTTTGTTTAAAGCTGTTGATAAAGCAGGAGGTGGGAGCCCTGTCCTGGGGCTAAACAGGGGTGTACTCAAACACTGAAAGAAGAGACCAAAAGAGACAGTCTGGAGCTGTCAGCTTGCCCCGAAGCTAAGGGCAAGCAGAGGCTGCCTCCCACATGTCTCTGTGCTGATGTCAGCTGAAGTCAGCGGTGGTCTGTGTGCAGAGGGTTCCCAGACCAGACCTCTAATGAGAATGATAATTGAACCGTCCTCCTGCCAAACCTGCCCAGGTTTGATTGGCATCCCGATGCTGATTTGTTCTCTTATTGGCTTTCACAGGAGAACTCACAAAATACTTTTTGAGTGAGTTTGACCTTGAGCTCGCTGCCTTGACCTGCTTTTCACTTCCTACAGATGGAGATGCTTGTTCTCCTGGGCATGTCATGGATGTTTTCCAGGGTAACACAGAGCCTTCTGAAAGGCAGGTTTGGGTGCTGCTTGCATTATTCCTGACCCTAGTGCTTTGTTCCCTGGCCCGAGAATCTTTCTGTCCTCCTCCCCAGTAACACGTTGTCATTTGTTCTGCAGAAATCAAGGAGGTGGAAAAGCAAACGAGAAGGGACAGATGCCAACAATCGACCCATCAAAGCCGCCGGGAAAGTTATTATCCAAGATATTTCCTGCTTGCTGCCTGTCCACAAGCTGCTAGGAGAGCTCTACATGTGAGTATGGGCTGGCACCTTTTCCCAAATGAAAGCAGCCATCTTTGGCATTGCTGTGCTTTAATCCCGAAATCAGTCAGCAATGATCTCTGAATGCTTCCTTACCTTCTTCCTCTGTTCTTGCCTTGCTGCTTTTTTATGGTATCCCTCTCTGCCTCTGAGAGGGGACTTGTCTCCTATAAATCTGAAAAGTGTGATGGGGTATTGTACACAGAGTTTGAACCCGTGCTCCAGCATCATCACTGCAGGTTCAGGTTTTCGTCAGCTAAAGAGAGAAATTATCAGTACAAATTCTTTTTCAAATCTCATGTTAAACTCCACAATTAAATGCACAGGCTTAAAAATCCCAATAAATGCACATTCTCATACTATAAGACTGTTGTTAGCTCATAAGGCTTTTTAATTTCAGAAGTGTTTGGAGTGACCCATTAACTTGGAGGCTTGGTTGTACATGACAGTGTCAGTACAGCAAGTTCTTCTGCTTTAATGGAAAGGATGGAGAAGTTCTGTTTGGTTTGTTTGTTTTTTTTAAACAAGAAGGTTCTTTTTCCAAACTGTCTAATTCAGATAGTTACAAAATCTCTGTTCCTGAATTTTTGCTTCCTTAGCTTTGGTAATACTATCTGGTCCTTCACAGAATTCCCAGTCTGTGGACATTCAGGGAAGAAGCAGTCTTGCCTTCTTAAAGGAGGGTGAGGAAAAAAAGAGAGAAGAAATCTGCCTTCTCTCTTTTCTATATTATTAAAAAGAATGTTCTTTAAAAAGACCTGTTGGACCTTTCTTCTCTGGATATCTCATGTGTGAACAGCCTGACCCTTTTCCATTTGCTGTAAGATCTTAAGCAATAAAAGTGTCAAGTGTCTCAGGAAGATTTCTGATGATAAGCAGGAA